AGGGAAAGAAAAAATTGACCGGGATACTCAAGAATATGTAAAAGCAGGGTCTTAAAATACAAAATCTCAAATTGCACTGTATTTTTGTACAAAATGAGCACAAATAAAAATGACTATGGGAGTGTGTAGTGCATTAAGTGTAGTGCTTGAAAGATCAAAGTACTTATTGTTTCATGCTGTAAGTTTCCATAACTATGAAATAATGTACTTTCTGGCATACATTATAGCTTGTTAAAGGGACTGATTTGGTCTGGGCAATAAACATCATGTCAAACATTATGGCAGAAAAACCTGCTTAATATGTTTTGTAATAAGACAGAATTTTTTGTTCTTGAAAACATCTGCCAACTGAATTCACGAGTGAAGACAGAAAATGTCATCAGTTCAGTAACAGTCTTACAAATTTGGTTTCTTTTTGTAGATGCAAACCAAGGAGAAAACTTCTTGATAATCAGCATTGACTATAATACTTTATGGAATGATAAAACAAAAGCATTTCGCTTTTATATAACATGCTAATGAATGCATATGAATTTTAATATTCTTACTGTTCAGATTTTAACAAGCATATTGCCAACAGATCACTTTAAAAGCATCTGTTTTTTAATGTGTTGAATGGAGGATTTAGTCAATTAGCTAAATATGTACATACATCCTTTTAAAAAATATATTTCTGTCCTTAAAAATACTACCATTTTTTTCTTAGACCACCAGAGGCTGCTGCTGTACATACTGGCTAATGCTTCCCCCAGAAACTTAATGCCCTAGCCTACCTTCATTTATTACTGAACTAAACTGAGAATTTGTTGATCTCTAACCTTTTTCTATGGCAACAGATCATACAGGCTTAAATGTGGCATGATTATTCCCTCCATCTTCCAAGCCATCTCCCACTCCCTACAGATTTTCACATTGACAGTGTCTTCTCTGTGTTAAAAGACACTTAGGAATGTAAATCAGTATTTATCCCCTTATAAATAGCATTCACCACTTAAACAAGTATACTGAAAGGATTCTGAAATGTTATTTTAAAGAAAAAGTATAAACCACGTAATTTTATAATAATAGTAATTTGCAATAATGTTGTTGCCACAATAGTTGAAGGATCTCAAAGAGGCAACGAAGGAAGGAGTAGGAATAAGTACTTTTATCAGACCCACTGATGGGGTTTTCTGGGCAAGATGGAGAAGCATTTCCTAGGCCTGTATGCTGGGAACTTGGTCGTCCTTTTTCCACCAAGCTGAGCTGCTTTAAGGATTCTTCCTGCAAATACTGTTTTTACTATAGCACAGTCTCTAGCAACACTATTTATACTAACATCCTATCAATGAAATTAAATTAATTTTTGAGGTAACGTAGTTTTCACAAACAATTTTTTCCCCCCATTTTCTGTGAGAGATTAAATAGGAGAAAAAAAAGATCGTGTGCGACTAATTAATTTGTTTTACTAAAAATGGACACATCAGGATAATTTGTGCCAGCACTGGGGAGAAAGTGGTAGAAGGCAGGTTTATTAATACACGGTTAAGTACGCAGTGACTGCTGGTGGGCAGGAAATCCTGGCAGGCACCCGAGCACAGTTGTGCCATTTCTGCTGATTGTTTGGAGTGGTTGAGAGGAGGCATCGCCCGGCTGAAGGTCACGGCTGAACCTCCACCCCTGCAGGGTGACCCCTGGGCATGGCGGGCGTGTTCCGGGTGGGAGATAGGGCTGTTTCATGACAGCTGCACGGGGCTGGCCCCATCACCATCCCTGGGCAGATGCTGGCTCCCTCTGCCCAGGCCCTGTGACTTGGCACAGCGTGCCTGCTCCTCCGGAGCCTGTGTGACTGCATTAGCCTGCTGCTGGGACCAAGCTAATCAGCCCTTTATTCCACCAGAAGAGACAAAATGACAAGCGCTAGGCAGACAGCTCCCGAGAGGGAAGGGACATGCTCCAGCACAGAGAAAGTCCCTGGCAGTCCTGGCCATCAGGACTCAAACCTCCAAAATCTCACTCCAGTGTTTATATTGCAAAGCCTTTTTTATTCCACCTTTAAAAGCTGTTGGCATTACTTCACCTATGCCTCTGAAGCAACACATGGTTTTACTTTGTCTGTATTTACTTTTTAAAGCCCGTTTATGTCCTTATGTTCTTGAGAAATCTCTTTTAGCTTCTAAGCAAAACCATGCTGGCAATGC